AGGAAGGCTCAGGCAGCTCCCCAGAAAACCTCTCTGCCCCACAAGGAAAGGTTCCAATAATGGGAATGTGCTAACGCTTTTGCCTACAGCCTTCCCTATCCCGAGCTTTTCACTGACCTGTGGAGCTCCATACTGCTGGAAGTGCAGGCATAGCCTGTGTGTTGCAGAGACTGTGGCAAGTTGAGCAGTATCAGGACTGCCTGGAGGCAGCAGATGGTACTGCACTGTCCAGTATATTAGTCTCACTCATGTACAAACTACAGCATATATGATAGCTGTTGTATTAAAGTTGAGCTATATAAGTTTCTAATGTCTAGCCTGCCGGGGTTAAACAGATTTTTTTTTAACCATAGGGCTAAATTGCAACTCTAGAGCCAATCCCCACCAGATTCAGAAGTCAAAAGTAACCAAGAGTCCAGTAGAACAGAATGATATTTCTGAACTTGCTATACACTTGAAAATTGAAGGTATTATCCAAGTGATCTTCAATAATTCATAATTTGTTAAATATATACAACTGAAATCTAAATAAGATATTCATCCTATTCTTACAAAAAATGCAGACTTGTGTAAATAAACAAATGAACAACTCCCTCCCCAAATATTTGGCTGAAATAATTTATTGGCAATGTTTGGTCTTATTTGCACCTTGGTCTAGGGGTACTATGCATGTAATGCTTTTGGAAAGAATACAGATTTCCAATGGCAAGTTCTGATTATTTTGCCATTTTTTGTTTACATAACTATAAACATTTGATTGGAGGATGCCTGGAGAATGTGATCTGATGCTGTTCTCTCCATTTCTGTCTTGCTGGGAAGCCTTACATTTTGCTGCTGCTGCTTTGCTGGAAATCCTTCCAAAAGATACATATTTCAAGGGTTTTTTTTTTTTTAAACGTGGAAGATAACATGTTTTCTTTGGTATTTGTAGGATGGTTTGAAGTATTCTTCAAAATATTTTGTGTTAATGCAGTACTTGATAGCTGTACTACAAGTTAAGGTTATTTATGATAGAGAATAATCATAACATGATACTGATTTATTTCTAAGACTTATCAAAAGTTTACTTGTAACTTTCACAAAGGCACCAACACTGTATTGCAATATTATTCTTTGAAACGTTCTATTTTCTTAAAGTTTTGGCTGACTTAAACCAGTGGTAATCTGCACACTCACCAGAAGATTCTGTGCTTAATTTAGTTTCATGATAAGAAAGTAAAATTCACATGTTCTTTATTTAGTCCATATAATACACCATTTTTAGGATTTTAAAATTAGATAAGAGCATAATAAATGGCAGGTGTATGAAGTTGTTCTTCATAAACAATGTCAGAACAAAAAATCTGAATTACAATATGTTAAAAACATGTAGGTACATTTGAACTTAACATGTCACTAAAACAAAGGTACAGATATTGTCTAAAGAAAAATAATTGTGCCACTTACCTATTTTTGCTGTTTTTAGGAACTTTTTATTCTGTACATAGAACCATTCTGTACAAAATATGAAGTCTACATTTTTATTACTTATTACCATAAAACAAAGTACAATGTATATACAATATTAAAATAAAGCCATACTAAAGCCACACTAAAAGACACTTGTAATATTACTTTTGACATTCCTGATGTACAGATGTAATTTTGGAGAACACGGAAAGGTGTCAAACACAGAACTTTATGAAGAACAACAGCCACCAAAATTCTACTTTATTTTTTCTTTTTATTTTGGATGTAGAAGTTTTAGAGTAGTTTAGTACATGACTATACAAAATATATAAATTGTAACAAACAAGCCAAGCAATCAGTGCTGATAATTTTTGGAATACTGTCTAGGCAAATATTCTATGGCCCAAAACCTCAAATGTGAATTTCTGACAAACTTTTATTAAAAAAAATGTATTTCCCGCTTTTTTGGTGAGTGTTTATCTTCAATAAAGAACAGAAATAAAATCTGGACAGTAAAAGATGTTCTTATACGTTGAGCATTACACAATCAAACATTGATATACAAGTTTTTTTCCTAGGGTAAAATAAGAGTACTCCTTTCCAGAAATCTCTTCCACAAACATACTCAACACCCAAAATCAAATTATTTGATAATCTACCAGCTAAAGATGGAAGTTCAAACAATGGTATATCAAAATACATAGACATTGCTTTATACAATTAAAAAAGCACCCTTTTTCCCCTCAAAAGGGGAAGGCATCTTTAAACTGTTTTAATATAGTTTATCATAATGGTAAAGCATATTCTTTCAAGTTTAACAGGAAGTGTTCTCTCACACAGTGGATTTTTCCACTTGAAACTCCAGGTGGTCTTTCAATTTATTTATTTTTGTTTTGTTTTACCAATAATTTCGATCCATCAAAATTAACTTTTTTTCCCAATACACAATGTAATAAATATTAGAAATCATATTTTCAATGCTAAAAAGCTGCACAATGTTACTGTGAATGTCTGCTTTGCACAATATTTTTATGGATGCAGGAGACCTCTTCTTTAAAAAATAAAACAAACTATTTTAAAGAAGCCACATTTTTATCATTTTATGCAAGACATTAAACATTGTAATATTATGTTACTGCCAGAGACAAAAGAAACTAGTTACCCATTTAGAATAGCAGAACACATCTCAAACAGCTCTTAAGCAGGATAAGAAAGTCAAAATACTGGCCACCCTGAGAGAAATCAAATATTGAAGACAAAGCACTATATGTTTAAAGATTTTCCTCCCGTGCTTTTCCATCTACAACAAAAAGCTCATTACATGCAAGTAATCTTGTGGACTATATAGCAGCATTTGAAGATCATCAGCAACTCAGATTTTCATTTTACTTCTGAGGTGTATTTGTAATATATGTGCTCTTTACAACACAAAAAAATATATTCACATAAAACTAAGTCACTGTTGATTTATCAGCTCTTAAACTCATATCTTTTACCTGTTTTACTTTATAATACAAGCTATTGGTGTTGTGTTTCACTGAAAGGCAACAATGTTTGTCGGAAAAGACTAATGCAACTTAAAAGGTATCATGATATCTGCCACAGAATATTGAACTCTCAGAGCCCAAGAAAAAAATGCTGAGTATTAAAAGCTCAGATAAGAGAGAAACAGTGTTTTGCTAAACTGAAAACAAGGAATGAAAATTGAAATATAAATGTTTTTATATTCAGTTTATTCCCAGTCAAGGTAGATAAATTTTCATTTTAGGAAACAATTCTTCTACCAGTTGACTTCTGGAATACTGGTGCTGTATTACATATGAAAGACTGGAAAATATGGCTTTAAATACATGTAAAGTACTAGGACATGGTAAATATATGTCTTTATCCTAAGGAAAAAAACAATTTACAGAACTCTTAGAAAGCAATTGTGATTGAGGATTGTCATGAAGTTACCATTTTGTAAGTTGTATTTTATAACAGGAAAATAAAGAACTGTGTATTTTCAAAACTGCTGGTATATTACAAGACAACATGGAAATAATTTCAAAGTTGAGAAGTCTTAGAAAAACCATGTAATACTTAAATCTGAAGCATTTTGCTTTTGAAAACAGTGTTACCATAGTATCAACTAGTAGTCATTGAATTGACTTCAATTTTGGTGAAAATAACTTACAGAATGTTATTTTCCCAAGTACTTCTAGAAAAGGATGCATGTTACCAACTAGCTGGTACTATGACATCACTACCACCAGAAAAATGTGGCCATCTAATACTAGTCAACCCATGGTTCTGCATATGGAATCAAGTAATTTACCATTGTTTGAACTACTAATCTTGAGCTGCATACTGTATTAAGTTATTGCCTACAGAACTGGGTTGAAGAAAGTTTAGACTTTTTGTGTAACTGATTGGTATGGCACAAAAAAGTAAGTTCTCTACTGAGGAACTGAGTCCAGAAAAAAGTTTTCCTCCAAAATAATATTACACTGTAATAGTCTAATGCCCATCGTGTGATATTAGCTCATCAGCTCTGCAATGGGATTCCAAGGCTTTCATGGTGTATATATCCTGAGGCAGTTCTGACTTGCGTCGCATAAGAGGACGATCCTTTTTCTGATCTCTTGGTGCCTGAAATAAAAATGCAAAACAGTTGGCCAAAAGAAGTAATTTGCAAAATACAAACTATTATTCAAGAATCTTTGTGTTCCTACGTACATTTACTTTAGGAAGAAGATTAAAATTTGCATTATTGTTTGCCATATTTCCTCCCTATGTCAACTACCCACACATTGTTTTCAGACTTGAGACTACTTTGTTAAGCAAAAAAGAGAAGATCAAATATAGCTTTGTAACAAGTCCATATAAAATATTTAAAGCTTTATTAGTAAAATCTGATTATCTTATCAAATTATTTCCTTTGCTTCTGTATGATACAGTTGCTGATCTATCTTCTCCATATCATTTATTTTGTATATCCTTAAGTCTTCTCCCCACAGAACACTGTCTCAATCTGTCTTCATGAGAGTTTTTCCATGCTTCTAATAATTTTCATTGCACATCTCTGAACCTTTGCTAATTCTGATGTGTCCTTTTAAAGACAAGTTCTGCAAGTTCAACACTATCAATTTGGGCTTGAATAAAGATACTATTTTGTTAACACACTACAAAGGCAATTTCCCCCGTTTTGTTAACACACTATAAAGGCAATTTCCCCCGCTTCTGATATTCACATTTACACATCAAAAGCTATGAATGGGACACATCCAGCCTGACTCAATTAGCATAATTAACACTGGTGTTACAACTGACAGGTAACTACTTTTGCTGTTATACATACTCTGGATTCTGTAACTCATTTGATGAGAATGTAGCACTTTAAAGACTAACAAGATGGTTTATTAGATGATGAGCTTTCGTGGGCCAAACCATCTTGTTAGTCTTTAAAGTGCTACATTGTCCTGCATTTTGCTTCAGCTACCCAAGACTAACACGGCTACATTTCTATCATTTGATGAGGTGGGTTTTACCCATGAAAGCTCATGATATAGTGTATTGTTAGTCTCTAAGGTGCCACAGGACCACTCATTTTTAAAGAGCTGAATACAATATTTTAGATAAGGGAATGTTTTTGATTTGTAGAACCGCATTATTATAATCTCCATTCCACCATTCCTTATGCATCCTGTATTTTGTTTGATTTTTTGACAATGGTGGCATATTGAACAAAGGTTTTCCTTGAGCTGTCCTCAAAAATGCTGTTTTTTCCTGATTTGTTACAGCTAACCAGAATATAGTAAGGTATGAGAATAGTTAAAAGTATTCCTTCACTTTAAATTTGTCAATTTTGAATCCTTTACCTAAGTCTGTGCTATAGCTTCTCAGTCTTACTTAACTAAACTGCCATATGCAAATTTTGCCATCTCACAATCACTGCTCACCCCATTCCTCAATTAATAAATCAAATGACCATCACCAGACATAGCCCAGAGCCTTAAGCACTCTGCAGTTAACACTGTCATGATAAAAATTGACCATTTATTCCAACTTTCTATTGTTTGTACCAGCAATTCTGATCCATGATAATGGTTTGCCTCTCAAACTACAGGCAGTCCCCGGGTTACGTACAAGATAGGGACTGTAGGTTTGTTCTTAAGTTGAATCTGTATGTAAGTCGGAACTGGTGTCCAGATTCAGCTGCTGCTGAAACTGATCAGCGGCTGATTCCAGGAAGCCCGGGGCAGGGGCTTCCTGTAG